TGTGTAATCTCTAGCTGAAGGATCCAGAGTTGTCTGTTGCTTTTTAAACTCAGTTGAGCTCAACAAGTAAAGCTGCAGTTCAGATGTTTTTTCTAGACTATCATGTGCAGGCAACTGCTGTTGCAACTTTTAAGACATTAATTTGCAGTACAGTCCTATTACAGCTTGGGCCTCTTACTGCTTTTGGTTGTAGATGATGCCAAAAAGATAAACACTGCTCTCTTGCCAAATATCAATAAATATTCTGGAGAAGGGATAGAGACAAGGAAAATAAATAAATAAACCTAATAATAATTGTAACAATAATAATAATTCATGATAAAATGTCGGTCCAGGGATGATCAGTAATCCTAGCAATTTGCAGACTCATATCGATCCATTAGGTTTTTATAGATGAGCTATTCACTTGACTTGGGTGACAGGCCCTGCAGGGATTCCGTCTTTGTGAAGAACCATGAAGATCTAGTTAACTATGAAGAATCAGGCTTTACAAAATCAGGTTTGGGGAGAGCTTGCACACCCCATCAGGATCGAGCAAGGCGAATAGTGGAAACATTTACACCAGTAACTAACAGCTGAAATACAGGTAAAACAAGTATGTTGGCAAATAGTGAGACCAAGTATTACTAAATAAATTTTCTTTCTAGTGAAAGAAAATTAATCCTTCTCATGTCTGATTTTCATGAAAAATCACAATCAGTCCCAGCTGTTTTCCTGAACGTCACAAAAATGGGTTAATGAAATAGTTAATATTTAGGAAATCAGTGTTTGTTGTTTACCTTCTTCTCTTGCATAAAGTTAGTAAAAAAATGAAATACTAGAGAGAGGAGAAGAACTAGGAAAACGAATGTAAAAATATTCCACCATGATGTCTTCTAATGAACTTTATTAAGGTATATCAAATGTAGTGAAAGAACATATTATTAAAGCATCTAGCACGTATGTTGGATTACTCTTAAAGCAGTATGATTCATCTGTCCCAACCACTTCCATGAGGAGCCTCCTAGCATTCAGCACACAACAAGATGAAGCTGGCACTACATAAATACAGTTTTGCATGAAATAGCAAATGTTGGCTACATTAGGGACAATAATACTTACAGTCCTAATCCTGAGTGAAAGCCTTTTTCCTTATTACATACCTCCATAAATAGTGCATGGTGCTGGCTACTGACTGTCATAAGCCATGTGTCAAAGTGTCAGGCGTGCCTCTCAAACATCCTCTGCTTTGTCCTCAGCATGGAAATACGGGTTCATTTGGGCGTTGCTGAGTTTTGGTTATTTGTTTACGGTACTTATTTTTAGATAATTCAACAGACTGTTCATGGGCTTTGATGTCAAATTTGCATTCCCAGATGATGTGATCGTGATTTTTGTTTATCAAATTAAACTGCTTTTTACCAATTTATTGTATATTCAGTTACTTAAAATCAGATATTTTTTGTTGTTGTGCTATGGTATTCAGTTTTGATTTGAGGACTTTTAAATATGAAATATATATAGATGGTATTTTTTGAGAGTAAAATTATACAGTAAATTATCTAGTGTCCACTGTGTTACATTTTAAGTAGGCCTTTACAAAATGGCTTGTACTTACATAAGATACAGGGGCTACAGCATATTTATTAAGACTCTTCAACTCTGAAACTGGAGCAGTCAGAAGTAATGGTGTCTGCTGAAAGATTCTTTATCATATGAATTTACTTTTAGTCATCTATTATTTATTTCAGCTATTTTATATGCCATTATAATAAATATTATGACAGAGAAAGCTTTTATGCTTCAACTTATTGTACTGCTCTTCACTTCCTTGCAATCCTTCAGGAAAATGTAGCTATGCTTTACCTATATTTAACGTAAATCATCACTTACATTTGAATGAAAAATTCACTATAAAAAAAGACTCCTTCTTCAATACCAAGACACAAATGCACAATCATGTTTACTGCCAAACTACTCTACCATGCAGTGTTCATTTTTAAACAGTTTTTAAGCTGTAAAGCGAATACATTGCATACAGTGAAATTGCTTGCTTTCTGGATGTTTTCACTTTCTTGTTAGTTTCTGGCTCAATAAGCATTTTTCTAGCATGAGTGCAAAATATTGCCAATTGCACTTAGGCATTTTTAATATTTTGCTCCAATAAGGAGCAGCTTATGTACAAACCTAAACAAATTGGTGTTGTTTAGAGTAATGAAACTTACCTGGAAATATTGGTAAATTTTTTTTAGAACAGGGCAAAAAATTGTGAAACACAAGGTATAATTTTTCATTTGCACTTTGCAAAACATTATTCTGTTGTGTTTAAAAGAGGACTTGTTTGGAACCAGAGAGCCATCCGCCTTCAGCTGTTTCTTTTAAGAGGGATGCTGGTGCCAGCTCACTGTTAACCTTGAGCTGCTCTTGGGCTTCATGAAATACAAGCGCTCCCCACCCCGAAGCACCGCTTCAGTTGCCTGTAGCTGACCTTGTTTTCCCAAGGTTCAGCAAGCGTATCCACGTCCTGTGCCTGTTCTCCTCTGGGCCACTTCGTGGAGCTGGTGTCAGTCTGGTTGTGAAAATGGGTTGGACACAGTTGGAACCTTCGTCTTGGGGACATTCAGCAAAGGCACTAGCTCATTTTGCACAGGCTCTCAACAGTGCCACATAGTAACGATCCTGTGATTTAGGAGTGAGCTCTTCAAATTATTCTGTACTCATTCTTTTATTTAGTTTCCCGTTAGATGATGGAATTGAGAATGAAGTAGTAGAGGCAGCATTAATATCTTTTGTCAACTGCATGTTAAAAATTCTGGAGTTTTCTGCCTTAGTTTGTTGATTTTACAATGTCAGTTTTAAGACTGTATTCTGTATTTGGGAGAGTGACAAGTCCCATTTAAGATTTCACAACATAAAATGAGGCATAATTCACTGCTGAAAATATGTGAAGTCAAATGGTGAGAGACATCAGCATAATACAATTATGACACGTTAGATCAGGATTTGCAGCATACCATTAACAATCAGTTCTGACTGTGGATTACAATTACAGTTATGATGCCTTCTAGCAAAAAGTGGTTTTTAGTTTCATTTTTTATTAAAAAAACATGTTTCCTTTTTCCAGAAGTACCACAATATACGCTACCGAGGTTTATACGGAA